GAGAAGGGAGTTCCCCAGCCTGTAGGTCTGCTGCTGGTTCCTACTGCCCAAGTGCAGCACCCTGCACTTGTCAGTATTGAATTTCATCCTATTTTAATTTGCCCACCCCTGTAACCTGTCCAGGTACTGCTTTAATCTGTCCTTCCCTTCTAGCATGCCCACCTTACTCCAAATCTTGGTATTGTCTGCGGATTTAAAGAGGGTGCTTTTCACCCCATCATCCACGTTGCTGATAAAGATGTTGAAGAGTGCGGACCAGAGGACTGAGCTCTGGGGGACTCCCCTGCCCACTTCCCTCCAGGTCAAATATGACCCGTCCACCACCACTCTCTGAGTACAACGTCTCAGTCAATTTGCAATTGATCTGACTGTGTAGACATCCATGCCACAGTCGCCTAGCTTTTTAATGAGGATGGGGTGGGAGACAGTGTCAAAGGCCTTCCTGAAGTCCAGAAAGACTATATCCACTGTGACACCTGCATCCAATGATTTTGTGACCTGATCATAGAAGGCAATCAGGTTGGTCTGACAGGACCTGGCCCTAATGAACCCATGCTGGTGGCCCTTGAACATCATCCCCACTGCTTGCCCATCACAGATGTGCTCCTTGATGATCTTCTCACAGAGCTTCCCCAGGATTAAAGTAAGACTAACGGTCCTACAGTTGCCCAGATCCTCCCTCTTCCCTTTTTTAAAGATGGAGACCACATTGGCCTTCTTACAGTCATCCGGCACCTGGCCCGAGCACCACAAGTGCTTGTAAAGCCAAGCCAGGGCCCCACGATAACCCCTGCCAATTCCCTCAGCAACCTGGGGTGGAGATCATCTGGATCTGCTGATTTGAACACATCTAGTCCCTCCAGAAGTTCCCTAACTCAGTCCTCCCTAACCCTAGGCCTGGTGCCGTTTCTCCCGAGCCCATCTAGACTCTTGGTCGGAGAGTCCGGTCCCTGCACAAGAAAATAGAGGCAAATAAATTGTTAAAGAGGTCTGCTTTCTCCTCTGGTGCAACCACCAGATTGCCAAGCATATCCTGCTGGGGCCCCACATTACCTGGTGCCTTCTTCATCCTCCCTATGTATTTAAAAAAGGACTTTTTGTTTTCCTTGATGCTAGCCCTAGTTCCATATCTGCCTTAACTTTCCTAACAGCCCCCCTACAGACCCGAGCAGTGGAGGTATACTCCTCTTTGGTGATAGCCCCTCCCTTCCACTGGGTGTACGCCTCCTTTTTTGGCAATCAGGCATTCATGAATGCCAGGGGGGCTTTGGGGCACTCTTGCCCAATATTGGGAGGGTATTGAGAGATAGTGAGAGATACTGGGAGCAGCATGCAACTCATGATCAGTAGTTTTAAATATATAAAACAAATGTTTCCTCCGCATTATAAACAATTTGTTTTGCAAGCTAAGAAGCAGGAGGGTGGCAGGCCCTGCCTGGCACTGATAAAACACATGGGGAGGGGAAGGCGGGCCAGCCCCAGCAGACCCCACCCATTGCCTTAGTTCATGCTGGAGACAGGACCAGAGCTGCATGTGGGGAGTGCCTCCAGGTCGTGCTGGGCCTCTGCTCTCCCCCCTTGACCCCCTCTTCTCCCAGAAAGCCCAGGTGTCCGGGCCCCCTGGCCCCCCTGGTCTCCCCCCGCCCCCGCCCCGCAGCCCTCTCCCCTGCAGAGAACCAGAAGTCCAGTCTTCAAGCCCCATCCTCCCACAGCCCCTAAATGTGCGGGTCTGACTGGCCGGGTACTGGCCAGCAGGATCACATGCAAACGGAGCCAGGGGTCATGCAGGGACCCGTCGGATGTCTTCAAGGGCACTGTGGGGTGGGGTGCATTTTGGGATGATTCCGTTTTGCCCCACAATCCCAGACTAAAGGCAGTTTCTTATTGCTAACAATGTTAATAGC